AGCGCGGGCAGGGGCGGGCTTGATGTGCACGTAGAACTTTCTGGGCTCCTCATCATCGAAGTCCGAGTCGCTGGATGAAAAGCGGGAGGGCTCGGCTGTGCGTGGGCCTCTGTCAAGGAGCCAAGCGGACCCCTACATGGGCTTCCGTCCAGGGGGCCCCGACCAGCCACGTACCTCGCCACCCACGCCCTTCGGGGTCTCCTACAATGGCATCATTTAGCTGTTGCCAAGCTACTTGGCAAACTCTTATTCAGCCGCTAAGAACCCCAACACTGGTGCCCCTCCATCCAGGAAGCCCTCACTTCCCTCTCCCTCCGGGGCAGTCCAATTCCCTGCCTCCCTCTGGCCCTTCCCTGAGTCCCTGAGCCCACAGGTGGGGTGGGTGTTCGCAAGGGGAGACGGGGCATCGAGGATAGAGCGGCGTCCCTGTGATGCCCACAGTTGCCTCTACGGGGCGCGAGAAGGATATTGTTCTGGGTCACTTCGGGCCGGACGGTGAAACCTTCGTCGTCCACCTCTGGACACATCTGGAGGGAAGAGGGTGAACGAGGTCCACACGTGTGTGCCGGTCCGGACCCAGACTCAGACTCCAGGCTGACTGCTCCCCCCCCAGGGGGCAGGTTCTTGGGGACAAACGGAGGCTCCGCAGGGATCACGGTCCTTCCCATGGGGTGGCAGGAGAGCTGCCGAGGCGGGATTTGAACCCAGCCCCCAGCTCTGCTGCCTCCGTCCTGCCCGTCGGGGCTGGGTTCCTTCTGCTCCCACCCCCAGCCCAACCCGGCACTTACCCCAGAATCGGGCTCCAGGAAGTCTCTGGGGATGGAGGGAGAGACCTTAGCGTTAGCTGGCCCCGCTCAGCAGCGCCCCCCTGTGCTCCGGACGGGACTGGAACTGGGGTCTGCCCCAGGGACCGACCTCGCTGGAGGCACGGGGCTTGTGGGAGGACGGGAAATGAGTCGCCTGGGCCAGCTCTGGCAAAGAGCCCTTCGGTCCTTGGCTGAGACTGGGCCAGTCCCGAAACAAGGGAGGACGCCAGGCTTGTGGGCGGTGGGGCCCCGGGACAGCGTGTGTGGGGACACCCGGGGCTAGCCGGGCAGGGCTGGACGCCGGCTCCTTACACAGCCGCGCGAG